ATTCCTGAAGGGTTGTTAAGCCTTGAATGTCTACCCCTTTTTTTTCATAAAAGCCACCCTTCTAAAAAGCTGACTGCCACCATGTGTAACTAGTTTCAAGTCAGAATTGTAGGAAAAGGGAAACTAAACACTAGTGCAATTGGTTAGGACCCTGTAATGGGGAGCTGAGGGCTCCTCTTACTTTTAAAAGGAAAAAACTAGTGGAGATAAAGCTCAGGCAACAGCAGAAGCTAGCTGCAAGAGTTGGCAGCAGAGAAACTGCTGGCTATGGAGGGAGCTATACATTAGGAAAGAATAACTCCTTCAGCCAAATACTGCATAGAATGAGTTGGCAGTGAGAATTAGGCAAGTAGACACCAAAAGGATAGGAGGGCCTATTGCAGAGCTAGCTACTCTGCAGCAGAGCAATAGGACAGACCCCTAACTTCGGCAACACAGGGCTGCTTGAGTAGCATCTGAGTTGCTATAGAGACCAGTCATTGGGCCCTGATGAACAGGGATCCTGGTTTTCTCTTTTTTAAAAAAAAAAAAGTGTGTGTGTGTCCATATTTTCCCATGATTTTTTTTAAAGAAAAGTCCCTATTAAATAGTGACATTCACTTTAATCACAGAAATGTGGATTTGGGGTAACTTTTTTTTTTTAATCTGAAAATTGGGGATTTTTTTTTTTTTAAAGAGGGAAAACAAGGGTCCATGCTAATGAGACCCTGGGCAGGTACATGGGGAGGCCACTTAATCAGAAAGCTGTGTTGCCTCCTTTTGGTGCCTACCTGGCTTGTATAGAACCAGGGGTTGGGGCAGACAGGAGGTCTGACCCTGGAGACAGAGGAAAGAGCACCAGAGCAGAAGGGTTCAGAAATGCTCTTGAGGGGTATGCAGGCAGAATGCTGCTTACTTGCCGGGAATATGATTCAGGGCAGGGGGGGGAAATTTTGTAAACCTGCTAAAGGGTTGAGGTCTGGACACTGGCTCCAGTGAAGAATGTGTTTTTAGGCTTAGGCTCATTCCTTGGCTGCAGTTAAACTAGTGGACTGAGTGGGACTAAAAGGGGAGGGGATCCAAGAGCCAAAGATAAGTAAGCACCTGAAGGTCACCAGGGGGCATCACAGCTCTCCTTAGAGGCCTGTATCAAGTCTGAGACTCTATTGACAAATGATGGTGAAGGGACAGCTGCTAGAGAGGGCTGGAGGCTGTAAAGGAGATAGTGGGTACTTCAGAAAATGAGACCAGAAGCAGGAGTAAGCAGATACTTCCTTAATTGAAGAACCTGTGTGCAGGTACTTAGGATCCAGCTTCCCCCAACCACCTAGGCTCCTCTTGAAAGGCTCTAATCTAAGCTCAAAGATTGGTACAAAGGTGCCCTCTCACTTCCCTCACACTTTTTTTAAGATGTTCTCCGCGCCCCCACCCCCCATTTCCAAAACTGTAATATGGGAAAGTAATTCCATGGCATGATCTAAGACTAACAGTTTTATTGTGTCAAAGCCTACTATAGAAGGATGGCGTGTTTTGAAATAGAGAAAAGCCAGGAGACCTGGCTTCTGTGGATGACTGACTGCTCTGACAGGCTGGGACTTTTGAGCATACTATTTATAGAATCAGACCTATGCCACACCTGCCTGTTTAGGATGAGGCTAGGTAATGACCTTACAGCAGTGTTACAAGGCTGAGCGTATACTAACTTGTCAAGTGCTTTGGGAGCCTGGGATAGGTGGTCTCACAAAGTATATAGTATCACTTCTGCTTTTTGGTTTTACCTGCCTAGGGAGAACTCTCATCATTTCCACAAACGGACTTAATTTTGCAACACCTAAATCTTGCCTATCCTGCTTCAGTAGCATAGTTGAGAATCACTGCTACATACCCTCTAACACTGAGTGGTAATAATTGTCAAGTCATTGCATTGCTTGTGGTCTGCACAGTTTTTAAAATAAAATGCTCCAAAAGGAGGCAGCACTGCCAGGCATGTATACTGACTAAAAGCAAGAGGCAGAAGTGGTACTATATACCTTTCATCACTTAATGTTAAACCCATGAAAGTAAAGGCCTAGACATATGTGCTGGACTTTGGACTTTAAGTAAGGTGCAGAATTGCTACTGGTGCTATAGCCTTTTACTACATAAGGATAAAAATAAAGGACCTCAGGCCTTGGGCAATAAGGTTTATAATACCTCTTTTATAGGGGAAATGATATGTTAATTTAAGTAATCTACAACATAGCCTCCAGCATACTGTGTTCAGTTAATTAGAATATTGAGCATTCCAGTAGCTGGCATATTGAGTATATTTTAGTGATCTACAGTGAATCAGATATTTGCGTTGGCTCTAGGGCTCAAAAGTTTCATCCACAACAATTGATCTCAACAAAGAAGTGCAGCTGGTTGTTTATGAAAGGGGAAAAATCAGGAAATCCAACAGACTAATGCATATACTGACTTGTTTATAGCTTTTTAGACTGTACTACAGCAGCATATCTCCTGTTCGTTAATTAATTAAGCCTCACAGTATCTTCCTGAAGCATCAGCACTTATTGAACTTCAATCATTTAAGTACTTTTGCAACCAGTGCAAAGGATAGATTCTTTAATGGTTGTGAGGCAGTACTGTCTCCATTTCACAGAGTATGAATGACTTGCATAGTCTCACAGGAAGCCAGAACTGTCACAACCACAAGAACATAGATCTCCTGAGTTCTGGTGTGGTATCTTAATCATAGTAATGTCTGCCTTAGAGAGAGCCTAATCTAGCTTCTCCTGTTGTAGTACATTCCTTGTCTGCCACATGAGAGACCTGGGTTTGATTTCCAGATATGTATGTAACTACAGCCATTGAGGCACCAAAAATCCAGACTTGTTTTTGGATTCTATCTCAATGCTCTGAAAAGAGAATGGGAGGTCTGGGCAGTCTCCACTCCTCCATATTCCTGCTGAGGCATATGCATCAAATGTCCTGGTGACCTCTCACACACATACCATGATCCAGAATTGATGGTTGCCTACTACTACTTCAGGTTCTTGGAAGTGGTATATCCAAATCACAGCAGAGCCTATGTTTTGGTGACTCCTAGCCATTGTTCTTATCAATCTGACTTCTTTTTCTTGTAAAAGACCCATAGAAAACTTGTCCTCCACTGCATCATTTAACTGTCAGAAAACCATACTGGCAATAAGAAAATAAGAAGCAATCCTATTTAGGGCTTTTCTTTTTTTTTTTTTTTCTTTTAAATGGACATCCTCCTTTCTCTTACAAAGCTACAAGCTCACTTTTTTTTTTTTCTATTGCTGTAAACTATTGACAACTAAGTTGGTGATTTTTAGAAATAAATATTCCTTTCCAGTCCTAAAGTTTGGTGTGAGATGGAAGGGGGGAGGGAATCTTTGCAGAGGAAGTTTAAAAATCAAGTATGATGCAGTAGTACAATACCAACAGCCAATTTGTACAAGATGACTCATTTAGTTTTATATTGGGCAAGAGGAAGCTTTCTTTTTTTTTTTTCTTTTTTTTTTTAAATAGTCCCAAATGAATGAGATTTCTAGGTATGGGAAGTATGCCTGTTCCTTAATATTCAACAGCTTACTGGTGAAGGCATTCATTTGCAAGATGGGAGCAATAGCAGAATAAAAGAGGGGTTGCTCAGGGCACTAGCCCCAAGAGCTACTTCTGAGGGCAAAAACTGCCATTGCCTTTGTGCTGCTGCTGCCAAGGGTGCTCAGGCTTCTACTTGCACCTCAGGCTGAGATTCAATTTTCAAATCGGTGATAAAGTACAAATCTCTGTCACATGCTAATGGCAATGTGAGTGTTCCTACCCCACACTCCCTCACGTCTAAAAGAAAACTTACTTTGTACAAATGAATTAGGACTTTGCCTTTACAAAGTGAGAATCAGGTGCCGCCTATCAAACAAGCTATAACCTTTACTCTGATCTAATTTTCTCCCTTGTACCCTT